TCAGGGTATTTCTTCCTCAGTCACTTGGTTATAAGGAGATTCCCAAAATACCATTGTTGCAGGTTTATCTTCTGGGACCATTCCTGGTAGCAATTCTGTATTGTTTCATGTTCACTCAGGAGATAAAAAATCACAGTCATTTAAGGAGGCAAAATTTAATATAAACTATTATTAACAGAGAATTGGAATAATGAAGAATTGGCTAATGAGAGTCAAAATAATTCTATAAGTACACTAATATAATATAAAATGTGACCACTACCCATAGCGTTGAGATAAGTACCCAAGGACAAGCCCTCTCTTGCTAGGAGTGAGATCTAGATGTCACTGCCTTAGCTCTACCTTAGTTTCCTGAATGTTGGAGAAATCAATGAAGTACCTCATGGTAGGACTTAATGGAAATATACCCTCTGGTTGGTGTTCAGAACTTGTTAGGTGCCAGGAGAAGCTGCTGCCTATTTTAAACTATCAGACGCAGGAGCTTCACAAATCCTCCTCTTCAGGAGTCTAGTGCACTAGGTCAGCTTTGGGCTGCTGTGCTTGCCAGACGTCAGGGAATGGCTGGACTCCAGTGATGCCCATGTGTGTCAATGCCAGGGACTAATAAGAGAGAAAGGGGTGCAGCAACCTGGGCTAAGGACAGGCCCACAATATCTGGGACTATGCCAACACAGCTGTATGATTTTGATAGTGAGTCAAATACCATAAAAAGTTTTGCCCTACAGGAACCTCACATTGAACAATGGAGAAAAAGAGCTCTCTGCAGGACACTGCTAAGAGAGCATACCAGAAATAGGAAGAGAAAATACCCTTCCTTCTGCAATATCCCTCCAGATCCTCTACTGACAACATTTAACATCTTGGCAGGTGGCAAAGGAGAAATATCTATAAGGTTCATCTCCATTATTACAGAGCAGGCAATGAGAGTCCATTTGGAGCAGAGAGGCAAAGAATTAACAATCAGTGCACTGACTGTATTTTTCATTTCTATGACTTTTTGGTTCTTCTTTGTAGTCTGTTGTAGTTATTCTTTATTTTATTTATATTTTTGTATATTGTTTTATTATTTAAAGTTCTTTGAGGCTTTACTCATAAAAGTTTTATATGATGATTCTGATCCATGATAGTTTCCTTGAATGCTTTAAATTATATCTTGTGATCTCATCTGCAGTAGTTTTATCTGTTGAAACTGTCGAGTGGGTTGAGAAAGAGATATTTTTATTTGCTTATGCCAGAGATCCCAGTTACATCACTAACCCAAGAACACTTTTAATATTTTGAATTGTGACTTCCCAAACCATGGGTAGGATTTGGGAGAAGTTATCTTTCCTATACGGAGCCCAGGCTGATCCTGTTATTAACTGAGTATCTTATAAGTTTACATTTCCATTATTCCTATGATAATTCAAAGGCAAACCTTTAGATTATTGAGACTAGTCCTACACATTCCATCCTGGGGACAGGCAGAGTAGCAGCACAAATGTTTACCAATCTCATTCTCTCACATAAAGCTACTTTGTTTTTTGTCTCCTGGAAGTTAATTACTTTTTTGCAACTTGAACCATGAATCTAAAGATTCTTACTACAGTTCTTCAGGATTGGTAGTGGAAGAATTTTAGAATTATCTGTTCTGCCAAATTCCAAGAGCTGAGAGCCCCTGAATATCCCTGTAAATCCTTCTTTATATTTTATTTTCCTTTAGAGATGGGGTCTTATTGTGTCATGGGTCTGGAGTGCAGTAACACAGTTGTAGTTCAGGGTAGCCTCGAACTCCCGAGCTCAAATGATTCTCACACCCAGCATCCCTATTAGCAGAGACTATAAGAATGCACTACCAACAACAGCTAATTAATTTTTTTTATACCAATGGAGTCTCCTTATGTTGCCCAGGCTGGTCTTGAATTCCTGGCCTCAAGTGATCCTCCTGCTTCATCTTCCCAACGTGTTAGGATTATAGGCATGAGCCACCACATTTGGCCCTCTTTTTAATTTTTTAAGACAACATACGCAACATTCTTTTCAATGAAGAGTAAATTATTTCCCACTGACCACTTACCTTGGGTAAATTATTAAACTCTGTTCATCAGTCTCCTCATCTGTAAAATGGGGATGGTAATAATAGCATCTACATCATAAGGTGTTGGTGAAGATTAAATGAGTAACCATACATAAAGGACTTATAAGAGTGTCTGACTCAAAGTAGACACTAATTATCTTCCACTATTAATACTACTGATGAGCCTGTAGAGAATATGAATACTCTTTGGGGCCTGTGATAAGTTCTGGAAGAGAGTTAAAAAAGACTAACATTTTAGAGCAAAACACACTCTCTCTGATAGATTTAAGACACCAGCCCTTGGCTAGTTATCAGCTGCTGGCAAAGATGAATGCATTAGTCTGTTTTGTGTTGCTATGAAGGAATACCCGAGGCCGGGTGATTTATAAAGAGAGATTAATTTAGCTCACAATTCTGCAGCCTGTTCAAACCTGGCATCAGTATCTTCCTGGCTTCTAGTGAGGCCTCAGGAAGCTCATAGTCATGGCAGAAGGCAAAGGGGGCACAGGCATGTCATAAGGCAAGAGGGGGAGCAAGTGAGTGAGAGAGAAACAGAAAAAGAGGCAGAGAGAGAGAGAGAGAGAGAGAGGTGCTATGCTCTTTTTTTAACAATCAGTTCTTGTGTGAATTAATAGAGCAAGAACTCAGTCACTAGCACCAGCACAGGGAAGGCAGCAAGCCATTCATGAGGGATCCTCCCCCATGACCCAAACATCTCCACTAGGCCCCACCTCCAACGTTTAGGATCACATTTCTTTTTTTGAATCACATTTTGACATAATTTTAGAAGGGGGCAAATAGTCAAACAATATCAACTAGATACATGAGCATGTGACATCAGGTGACCATGTGATCCAAGCAGTTCCTCATGAAATGGCTGCTATAACAATGAAAAAACTCCTAAAATTGAATGAGCCTTCCTTCAGCAAACTATACTCATGTGGAAATGTTATTTAAGCATACATTGCGTGAGCATTTGGCTCTTGCTCCCAGCAGGTCTACCCCTATGATCTCATAGGGAGTTCTCTCCGAACAGTTAACTAAGGGATAAAAACTCCAGATCTGGCTTACAGATGGATCTTTATCATTTGCAGAATCAGTTAGTAGTTGTTGCAGGGCAAAAGGGCAGTGGACAAAGGAAATCCTCCCCTTGGGATACAACAGTGCCAACTGTGCTTCAAAGGGGAGTTAAAATGAAGATTCTATGCTGTTTCCAGGACAAAGGTTAGAGGTTTGACTTGACGGGACTTAGAAGAAACAAGGTAGGATCTTGGGGTCAAGAAGGTTTCGGAAAATGTATGTGGGAGAGTTTCTTCGAATGGCCCCAGAATAAAAGCATATTTATATGTAACGCACAATTATGTTTTCCAAAACATTTCATTTGATAAATTTATATCAAAAATAAGTTTGACAATAATGCTTATTCTTCCGTGGATGTTAATACTATTGCTTTTCTAGAAACTCCAGTGCTTGTTCTATGGCTTCACATACCCAGTGGCCATAGTGGCAGGGAATTATGCTATGCACTCAAAAATATGGATTTCCCCTCACTAAAGGATAATTGGCTACTGCTCAGCGCTCAACTTGCCACAGTAGCAGCTATGTAGGGCCCTTATTCTGCCACACTGGAGGATCCTATGGTTGTCTTTAGTAGAAAAGTCAGATTGGCTTTTCCTTTTCTGCTCACCAAATTTCCCTCAACATGCTTGTCCATGAACTTATTGACTGGTCTATTCCTCATCAGATTTTGCACATTATATATTTTTTCTAACTCGTTAAACCATGTTCTAGCAAAAGAAGTAAAGCTTTTGGGCAATGCCCATGGGGTAATTTATCTTATTACAAAACCCATTACTAGAAATAGCAGACTTTATAGATGGTGGAATGGAATAGTAAAGACTCAGTTATGGTCTGAGGATATCCTATCTGGAAAGTACAAGGAAGAAAAAGCTTTTTGACAAGATGTACATTCATGAAACCAGAAATTAACATATATTATTTCTCCTAAACAGGACAAAAGTGGATAGGGCTCCTCTTAATATTATACCTATACTCAAAGTTTTGAACTATGCTGGTTTAAAGACTTTTAGTACCTGAATAAGAATTCTCCCATTAAAAAACCTAGTGATAGTCTCATTTAATGGGAAGCTGAGACTACAGAAGGAATAGGCATATTACTTTGGAGTTGTACTAATAATGAGTAGGTTTGGGATTTTCTTCCTTTGGCGGGCTGTGAACTGCTTGCTCAGGTCTTAAAACATGGAAGTAGGGGGCATATGTGAAGAAAGGCAATATTATTGCTGGACAGCCAAAGGGTGAATTATGGTCAGGTTTTTCCCTCCTCCTCTTCCTCTTCTTCCTGTTAGTCTTCTTCTTTTTTGGTTGACAAGCATCAATATGACCTTTCTACGTTTAGAAAATTCTCTGCCTTCGGAATCTCCATGAAACTTGGCCAATCTGGCCAGTAGACATACTCTCCAAGGTTTTAATCCTAGAAAAATTAATACAGAGAAAGGGGATGGTGGAGACATTTTTGTGGCAGTAACAGCAGGGAAGTTCTCAGAGGCTGCTGTGACACTGCTGTCAGGGACAGCAAGTGGAGTCCAGTAACATCAGTGTTAATGACAATATTGACACTGGTGAAGATGGTATGGCCTCCAGTATTAGTCAATGTCTGTACCATTGGCTTTGTGGCCTGGTTTTGGCTACAATCCCAGTTGTGCAGCCTTGCTTTGTTCTTCCCATTTTCTGAGCCCATTCGCTATGCTTTCTAGCGATTCTGTGAGTTGCAGCATTATTAAGAATTTCCTGGTTCAGATTGCAATTAGAAAACCTTGAATCTTTCTTGCCAGTCAAAATGAGCTTTACGAGGAAAAAGTAAAGTCGGTTAACTTACATTCTTTACAGACCTCAGCAGAGAGCATTTTCAGAGTACATCTGATACTGTGGTTAATACATATCAGAATCCCCAACCTGAAAATGTTATCATTTACTAAGGAATGTAAAACATGTACATGAAACAAATACAATTTGCAGGATGGAATAAAATTAAATGCTAAATTGAGAACAGACTGTCATGTAGAAAGTCTTTTTGAAAGAGATGGGACTACGTTTAATTTCTGAAGAATGGGCAGGAGATGGCATTTAAGGTACAGAAATCATCAAGCACAGGAACAAGTCTGGATATTCATGGGACAGTGACCAACCTGACTGAAGGGTGGGTGCATGTCTGAAATCAATGGGAGGTACATTTGAATGATTAAGAGACAATGTATCATTATGGCCTTGCTTTTAATCAGAAATAAAGATATTCTTTATTTCCCCAAATAAGGAATTCTTATACATAGCTTAACGTATTTTAAAATTTTTATTTTTAAATGGGCCTACAGAAAAGAGGTGGGGCCGAGGAAAGTAAATAATAAAACCTGAAAATAAATAAAAAAAATATTTATCAACGTGGGCTCAATTTTCCATTATTTTTGGAAATTAGTTTTGTTTTTGAATAATAAGCAGTTAAATAATTAAAGCTTTGTCTTGGCAGTGCAAAGACTGAAGATGATTTCTCCGTGGCAATTTTCCAGACTTGCTAGTTGTCCTTGGGTCTTGGTAACATTCTGCTCATTAACTTCAGGAAGGAGTCCAGGAGTAAAGATGCATTTGAAAGTGGCTGAAAATAGTTTGTAAAGCTCGGCTTTCCTGGCTTGACAGTGAAATGACCGCACAGGCCAGTCACTGGGTCAAAAATCAATTACAAAACAGGGGAAGTGTTCATATCTTTAGTTTTACATTAGCTAGAAAATCACAACCAAGAAGAAAGGCAACCATGAAATACAGGAAATACAGTATTGTTGCCTTTTTTTTTTTTTCCTCTCTTGGCAGGCTGGGTCGGCTGCCTCCCAGCCTCGTTGTGAAAACCGCGAAGTGGACGGTTCGCTCCGTGGCTTCTTCCCAGACCCCGCCAACGCGGAAACCGTCACTCTGTGGTCCCCGACCAGGTCAATGCGAGGCCGCCCACTCCTACCTTCGAGTCTCTCCTCTTCTGCAGAGGACAGTGGTCCCTTTCTCCACCTAGCCGGAGTCCGAAACTCCCAGGCCCGCGCTTCCAGCCCGCCCCGGGCGAGGTGGGGATGCGCCCGGCCCGGGCCGGCGCTGGTCCCGGCAGTTCCGCGTCTGCGCAGCGGGCGAGGGGCTGGAGCGGGGCCGGCCGGGGAGGCGCGGGAGGCGCGGGAGCCAATGGGCACGCTCGGAGGAGCCGGGCTGGCGGCTGCGGCGGCCGGCCGGGCGCGCACTCTCGGGATGGAGGGCGAGCGCCGGGCTTCTCAGGCGCGCTCCTCTGGCCTCCCGGCCGGGGGTGCAGACGGGGAGAGCCCCGGGGGCGGCACCACCTTCCCGGGCAGCAGCGGCTCTTCCGCCCTGCTGCAGGCGGAGGTGCTGGATCTGGACGAGGACGAGGACGACCTGGAGGTGTTCAGCAAGGTGAGGGCGGCGGCGGCTAGTCCCGGGAAACTTCCAACGCAACTCTGGGAGTTGCCAGCGCTGCGCTGACGGCTGTCTCTGGCGCGCTCGCCTTCTCGGGGCGGTGGCTCTGAGCTGGGGACGGGTGAGGTCCCCGGGGCTGCGGGACCCCGCCTGCCAGCTCTGGCCTCACTCGGGGCCGCGTCGCCGCGGGGCCTCGAACCGCAGCCGCTCCCTCCTCCGCACTTTGACCTATTGTTTGGTGGGGCTGTGGCTTCTTGGAGTCTGCAAAGTTGTGATTTCTCTTTCTGCTTCTCTGCCACGGATCTCTCCTCGCTGCAGCTCCGGAACCTGGGAGGCGGGTGGCTCGAAACCGCCCCCGCCCCTGCTAGCTGCTTTTCGGGCGAGACCAGCCCTGAACTCTGGGAGAGATTTCAGCCAAGTTTAGAGAAATTATTCTTGATTTAGTGTTGTTGGTTGTGGATTCGAGACTTGGGTAACACCCGAGGCGAATCTCAGGTCCTGTGGGAATAGGTTCGAGGAAATCTCCCTGAGCAGGAGAAAACGGTTGTTTCTAACAGGAAGCTCCTCCGCTGAGGAGCTAAGGATTTTTCAGATGGTCAGCTACTGCCACCCAGCCCATAGCCAGCGCTTTCGTTTTTCCTTGCCCCCGGGAAATTTAGGACCAAAGGCTTTTGGGTTATTTTACTGTTGGGGGGAAATTGACTGGTGGGGGTAGGCTTTTGGTACGTGTAGCCTGCTGGTTGTAATTTCTTAAAGGGTTTTAGAAAAGAAAAATACCTTTCTTGCAGGGAAGTTGAATGTCACTCCAGTTTCTCAACTTACTGCTGAGAGAGGACCTGAGTTCAGATCACAACGCTGTGGTGTGTTAATTACCAACAAGCCTGTTCAATTTAATGTTACCTGGAGATGTTAGGTGAAGCAAACTACCTACATAACCACCGCATTTATTCTGGGAAAGCAAACCCAAGTTAGAAAGTGAACAAGCATACTCTGACTCCAAAGAGGAGTATGCAAAACTTATTTCTACTTCGGGTTAAATGGAATGATAGGCCCCGGCTTGTATTGAGGACATTTAAACAGACTATCACAGTTTTGTGCTCTTGACTTTTCTATTAAATAGTAAAAAAATGGAATTATTTTATGTTTAGTTGTAAAAGGTAAACGCCTTTTCATATGCCACACATACTTTATGTTCAGATCAACGACAATTGGCCAGTTGGTTATTAATTTCCTTTCTTCTTTACATCGCTGTTTAGATCAGGAATATTAGTCTATTATGCATTGTGAAACTTTGAAAATGGGATGGGATGAGATGTTGGAAGTGGCAATAGCGTATCAGAATCATCCTAGCTTCCTTCTGTTTTTTTCTTTTTTTTTTTTTTTTTGCCCAGGCTGGGCTCAAACTTCTGGCCTGAAGAGGTTCTACCACCTCGAGCTCCTAAAGAGTTGGGATTACAGGCTTGAGCCACAGTGCCTGGCCCTGGGATTGTTTCAAACTTGTCAGGTGGTTTCTCTTTCCCCAGATTGTTTAAACGCGGTCCTCTCAGGGGCAGATCTAAGAAGCTAATGAAATTGAAGCTTCAGCGCAATTCATTTGCTTAGACCTCTGGGCGTGTTGGGGGTTGCTGGAGTTGCAGATGTTCTAGGTGGGAAGGAAATGACAGGTTGCAACCGGAAGCATTTCAAAATAAGCATTTCTGGTGAATTGCATAAAGCTCTCAGACTAAGCTAGATCTCCGTGTCTCCATTCATTTAATGAGATTTCTTTTCTCATTCTGAATCACTTGTTTTTCCAACTAATTTTGTATTCTTTTAAAAGGGGACCTTCCAAACTCTGTAAGCCGGTACACCTGGGTCCACCCTGCTGGTTAGTGTTAACTGCGCGTGTTGGATGCTTAGTAAAAGTTAATAACATCTGTAGAAACTGCCCCCCTAGATTAAGGCAAAGATATTAGTTAAAATCCAAAAAGAGTAGTTGGAAAAGTTTAAAGTTAGCCATTTTTATTCATTTCAGTAAGTTGAATTTCTGAACCACTATCTATAGTTAGGCAAGCAGATTTAAGAAAGTCTGATCCATGTGGCCTTCCCTTTGCACTACTGCCTTTCTTACCTGCTCCTCTGTAGAACACACACCACTGCTGTTCAGCCTACCGGATGGAATCTCACAATTACTTATCAAGCAGATTGTCCTTCCCCTTTAGTACTTTGAAGTTGGCAAATTGTATATTCAGTTTACATTCACCTTTGTAGTCCCCTTTATTTCCTTAGATTATTTGTGAATATATGTCTGGTGCCCTATTCCAGAAGCTTTTTAAAGATTATGAATTTCCCCACCACTTTGGGAGGCTAAGGCGGGCAGATCACTTGAGGTCAGGAGTTCGAGACCAGTCTGGCCAACATGGTGAAACCCCATCTCTACTAAAAAATATAAAAATTAGCCAGGTGTGGTGGCAGGAGACTTTAATCTCAGCTACTCAGGAAGCTCAGGGAGGAGAATCGCTTGAATCTGGGAGGCAGAGGTTGCAGTGAGCTGAGATCGCACCACTGCATTCCCACCTAAATGACGAAGTGAGCCTGTCTCCAAAAGAAAAAAAATCCAAAAACTTATTATTTTTTTCTACAACATATTACAAGTAAATGGCAAATATATATTTTGTCTTATGTGTGCTTTAAAAAAAAATGCAATATTTAGTTCTTGCTATCACAATCTTATAGTCCAGGTGGGAAGATGTGACAGAAACTCTGAAATAGCAGTGCAAATCAAGAGGAGTGGAAAGTAAAACAAAGTTGTTCTGAATTTTCATATAGTCTAGTGAGAAGAAAATGATGCCAGATCTCAAGAGAATGGAGAGGTTATTGACTTAAAATAATGAGTATAGATATTAGAAGGAGGAGAACAGAACCAGTCATTCAAAAACGGTAAAATAAGAAAAGAGACACAAATGGTAACAAGAGCCTAAGAATTATTTTAGAACTAGGTCAAAATGAGATGAGGCTTCTAAAAAAATTGAACTGGAGAAAAAGGGCCAATTCCTTCACATTTAAAGGAAAAAATTCTTCTTTTTGGGGGAAAAACAATAATTAAAATAAATTGCCTTTATTTTTGAATACTGTAATGTACAGAAGAAACAGCAGTAGATACAGTGTACGTGAATAGGTTACAATGAAGCACTGAGATGCTTACCTGGTACTCAGTAAATGATAGCTCTTATTGGCCTCTTTAAAGATATTTGGGATCATAAAGTGAGATATATATATTACCTAGGTTAATGAGGGAACTCACAGATGTAATCATCCTCATCACCGCTAGTCATCTTTGAGAAGTCATGAAATGCAGGAATGGTTCTACCAAACTAGAGATAGGTAAATATTGTTTTTAAAAATAATGGGCAAAAAGGAAGTTTAGGAAGGTACTGAATAGTAGGCTTAATTTCAGTCTTCAGGAAAGCCATGAAGTGAATTATTTGTATGTTGTTTATAAACACTTTGGGAAAAAAAATGATGAAACTAGCATGTTTTATAAGAATAATGAAAGACTTAAGATTGAGTAAACAGAAATATAATGAACATGATTATTTGAGCAAGGTTTTTGAAAAAAAATCACTCATCTTTTAAGAAAAGGTTATTTTTGAAAGAATAAAGTTGAGACGTCTAACACACTATACATATCTTTTTATGTATTTTTTCCTGTCAATTGGGAAATTCCGTATAGTGATGGGGCAACATAATTGCACTATTCAACTATTCTATCAAATACTTAGAAAAAGATTAGGGAGCCCTACTAATTTTTCACATATATTCTCTGAACAGTCCGTTTAGTTTTTATTTTGTCTCTGTATCAGTCATCACCCTGATAAAAATCAGAATTCTCGCCAGTGGTTTAAATGAGAGTTGAATGAGGGGACTATTTATGGAATGATTGGCAGAGTTAGTGAACAAACGAGAAATACTGAGACATTTAGAGAGTTATAGTAGGAAAAAGCTATTAGTGTCCCTAGTTTTAAAGGGACAAGAAATAGAAATAGCATTGCTGGAAACCACTCATACCTGGAGCTGTGGCGATGGGGACACGTCTTCAGGAACTCTACAGAGAGAGGTAGCTACTGCTGGAAACATGCCAAAGCAGGGGGAAATAAGGGGTATGTTCCCTGAATTCCTCTCCTTCTGCCCTTGGATCTGCTTGTGCTCCTTATTGAGTGATTTTGCTAAGGTGATGTCATCCATAGGTGCCAGCCTCCTGAGGCATGTAAAATAGATGGGTGGGGTCATAGGATGCAGTGGAAGGACATATGGTGGAAGTGATGCTGTGCAGCTTCCCAGGGTAGATCATGAAATGGAATGTAGGTTTCATGTTGCCCAGTAGGACACTGTGCATGTTGGAGCACCATGTAAGAAATACAACCTAAAACCTCCATGTTAGGAAACCCATGTTACATTGAAAGCACATGTAAATGCTTGGTCAGCAGCCCCAGCTGAAGTCTGAGCACTATCCAGCATTAAGTGGCAGGCTTTCATGTGAAGATGTCTGTATGATTTCAGCCTCCAGCATTCAGGTTCCCTTAGCCGTCAAGTCTTTTCAGTTGAGGCCTCATGTATAATGGAGTAGAGACAAGCCATTTCTTCTGTGTG